CTATTAAAAACTAAATTATGTCAATGTGTAGACATATTTAAGATTGTTTTGCCCTGACAATGATCTTAAAATAGGTCGGAAGCTCGGCAATAACAATCGAATTTGTTTCTTCATCAAGACCATACCAAGGTACTGATTATTCGTGAATTAAAAAGTGATCGATATATCTTATATATTATGCAGGGTGGGCGACCAAGACCCGAGGGGTTAAATGCCTGGGTAGACTCGTACCCCATCCCTAAAAGGTCCGGGACTTGGTCGGCTCACGTGTCCTGCATAAACCTATTGGACCTGATCACAAACCCCAAGATTTTGGACCATTTAATCTCGGTGAGTGATTTGGTGATGTCCTCTCCTTCAAAAGTTTCAAATCTATACCTAGCGTACCTATCACGCGAGGTAGTGCCTTGTCGTTTCTTCTTTTAATTCGCAAAAACGGCAAAAGGGATCTGGTAGAATTACGGAGAGGTGTCTTCTCAGTGGGCAGTGGCCTGTCAGGATACCTATCAGCCTCCTATTTCCCTTCCTTGAGTTAGCGAATAACCATTTCGATTCTGCTGGTTTGATCTCCTTAACAAACTCCTTCGATTACCTGTGTCGGGGGATAGATTCCATTCCTTAAGGAATTGTTTCATACCCCAGTTTTTAATACTCTCTTTCGCTGTGCTCATAGAGTGAGGTAATACCGGTTGTGGCCCGACAAACGCAGTATTAGAGCTTTCTTTGGCCAGGCTATCCGCCTTTTCATTACCATGGTGTCCTTTATGTGCTGGTATCCAAATAAGGGTTATGTTGTTCTCAACCTGGAAGAGATCCTATTGATAAGACGGTTTCCCCCACCAGTCTAGATGTTGACAAATCTTTTTGTAATGACCTAAGACTAGCCTGACTGTCAGAAAAAATTCTAATATCTTTTACCATGATTTTATTTTACATAAGTGTTCTACAACACACATTAATGACCCAGATTTCCGCCTGAAAAACGGAGATGTTATTGCCAAGAGGGGAGGAGATGCTGATACCTAATTTAGGTATATGGATTTCAGCACCACTTCCTTTACCTTTGATAATTGAACCATCTGTATAGCATATGGTCATCATACACACTATAGTTATATTCACAAGGAGTGACTATCTGAAAGTACTCTTTCCCAGAAGGGGTTTTAACCTCGGTCAATATATCTTACACTTTAAATAAAATATTTCAATTGTATAAGGATAGATGTTATTAAAGCGCTAAATTGAGAGATTACCAGATGGTTTTGCATAATTAAATCCTCAACTGGATGCCAGGACAGGAAGTAAAAGGAATGTTCAAGCGGATGTCACTCCACTTAAGGATCTAGCTTTATCTCCATAGAATTTATAGGGTTTTGCAGCTGAATACAAGAAGGTCTAGAAGAATCTTGAAATTTTTATTGTACTGGTCTGATTTACGTGATGACAAGAATGGGCAGATCAGGAACTTTATAGAATTCCACGTTAGGATTCATTTATACGAATTATATAATATTAATTTAAGATTCATGACAGAACATAATCACAGTAGATCAAAATTGATAGTTCAGAATACCTTGATACATTTCGTTCTAAAAGAAATAAAAAAGGTGTTAATTGAGCTGAGTAGAGTGTACACGTCAGATAAGTTATACCTGGTAAACAAAGTGGTTTAAACAAGTCACAAGGATCAAAGATAATATCTAAATCTGAAAAAAAAACTCCTTTAGATTACAACGAAATAGAAGTGCCAGGATACTGCAGCGGAACCGATCGGACCTAGATTTTGCGGTTGATTTTTACTTTTTTTTCAACCTTGAATACAATAGTAAAGGCCTATACAATCGTGAAGACACTCGACTCTTTTATAACGGGGTATCGAGGTTTCGCAATTCACGTTGTAACGAACCGAGTTCCTTGTGGTAAGAATCTAATTAAATACACCCTATGGACAGTGCCTCAGGAATTGTCTTGTTAAAAATATAAAATTGCTTGTTTTCCTTTCTCCTTTCGTACACAACACCAAGCATTTCGGAAACCCCAACTCGAAATGTAACGCTGGAAATGGTGCCAGGAAAAGGGTCATAATATAAACCCTTCCATAGTTACATACTACCAATCGTGGTGGACAACTGTGAAACTGTTATTGCAGCAGTTGCAGTTACTGTTTTGTGCATTAGCTACAAACTAATTGAAAAAAAAAAAGTGTAAGAAAAGGAGATGGAGGATAGTATCACTAAACCATCGATCGCTGTCCCGCTTTTGACGTTCTCCATGATTTTTTGAAGGCAGATTCTAAAGGATGCATCCAAGCATGCATGCTTAAGTGAATCCTTAATTTGTTTTTAAATCATTAAATTTTAAACAGAGTATTGATCCCCAATCCCATTTTTATAGGAAGAGTAGCTTTCCAAATTATTTCTTCTTAAATTCACTAGTTTTCGTGGTCCGCTTGAACAATTAATATCTTTCAATTAATTAAGGTTTTTAGTTGAGATAAAAAAGTCAGTGTCACGAGCGGGATTCGAACCCACGACCTTCGGCTAGATACGCCGCTACTGTAACCACTTGATTGGACACCAAAAACATTGAACTAAAACATTTTTGACATTAAAAATGACAAAAAGGAGGGAAAATTCGAAAGGCTGTAGGTTGAGTTGGCGAGTTGGTGTCCGAGTGGATCGAAGTCACGATAGCTCAAGTGGTAGAGTAGCGGCTTATCTAGCCGAAGGTCGTGGGTTCGAATCCCGCTCGTAGCACTGACTTTTTTATCTCAACTAAAAACCTTAATTAATTATTGCTTCTGTTTCGTAAACATTGAGGAACTCCATAACTGATGTATTGGGCCACACCATTCCTAATCAAAAACCTATGTTGTTATTATGTAAATACATATATACAAGTTAGGAATCTTTACTGTTGATTTTGATAACAGTTGGCCGTTGGTTAAAGGTATGTATAATTTCAGATGATTCCCGAACGTGTGGATGCTTTGAGTGCGGTTACTTCACGAAGCGCACTTTGAAGCAGACAAGAAAACCGACAATAAACCGAGCACGTTGGCACCAAGCTTTCGACCAAAGGTTAATCTGAAATGCACACCACACGACACTCACGGCCGAATTAAACGAACAATGCCAAAGACTAGTGAGATTCAACTTGGGAGCTAAACCTACCTTACTGTATCAGACTTATGATGCTAAGCAGGTTATATATGGCGGTCAAAAATAAAACAAAGAAAGGCAGGGAAACAATTACAAAAAGACGAAAGAATTGGATGCCTTAGTATCATTGGTTCTCCCAACACCCGCAGCTGCAATGGAATGTATCTTCAAGTTACCAAACTTGTATGCAGAGAGCTTAATCAATAATGGGTATGGAGGGGCCTAACCATGAACACATCATGGCTCTCTGCCTAACCATCTTTCAAGCTTAAATGCCAGCCATAGAAACATGTGCACATGAAATATATAACACACAACTCAAGGTGCAACAATAATAATATCAGATAGCCAGGCTAAAGGCTTTACAAGTCTACGAAATCAGTTCAAACTGCCTGAATACCCTAAAAATGGGATATACAAATAGCTGGATGCTAAGGAGTGTTCCAGGTCATGAGGGAATTTCAGACAATGGGGCAGCCAATTTACCTTAAAATGGAGCCTCAAAACAGCACATAGGCTCAAATCTAGCCATGAAATTACATAAAAAAAGAACTGAAATCATGGGTTTCTAGAAAACCCAACAACTACGGTAAACATATGGCAAGTATGAGGCAAGCAAAAGCTACTCGGAAAAATAACCCAATGGGAGAAAGGAATTCCTACTCAGCAGAAAAAATTACAACCCTAACATGTATATTTGATATGCTCGATTAAAATACCATTTTAACAAAAAGGATTATTAACAGACCGATGTCGAATATGTCTAGGCTCTAAAGGAAACATAGACAAGAGGTCATATCATGCAACTGCCCTACAAGAGATAAGACAAGGTTCTGGTACCTAGAAAAGCCATTCTTGAGCATTGCAGACCTCTAACAAAACTTCTGTGCTTCTTTAAAGTAAAGAAATCTTTAAACCAACAGTGCTCGGATACAATACCCCAAAGTTTAAGTACGAAAGAAGAAATGTTAAACTTATAACTCCAAAAGGGAAAAATCCCAGCTTTCGTGTGTCAGACGCCTTTCGGTATTTCGCCAACTTCACTACCCACATAACAACCCCTGAAAATGGCAAAATGTCGAAACCCGTCTGACACAAAAACTGCAAGGATAGGCGGTCTTGGATCATCGGAAGCGGGCCTACTAGAAGATCATCACCCAGCAGACTTCAAGAAGAAATATCACAATATCACACACAAACCCTTTGTTATGATAAAAATATCATCAATACATAGTTATCAATAAAATCTGCAAAAATAAAAAAATATCTTAAATCTTTAAGCATTTTTTTATGCAGGACGCATTCCAGGTTTTCATAGGCGTTTATGATAAGGCGAAAGCGTGTGGACAATAATTGCACGAAGTGATAATAGAGGAAATATTTAATTATCACAGTCATTATACATTTTTCTTCCTACTTCCCGTTCTAGGTAAAAAGCAGATGTTGAAATCCGCGAAAACCCTAAAGCTCACGGTTCTGCAGATTCTTTTCTACGATTGCAGAAGTTGTTCGTTAGAGCGGAAAACTGCTATAAACACCACCCTGAGAACGCTTTTCAGTTGTGACACCTCCCGACAATAGCCGGACCTAGGAGTGTGATTGCCTCCGTCAGTCATTTGATCATCGCGCTAGTTTTCATACATTCCACCGATGTCGAAACATGTCCATTTTATCATATTTTCCGCTAGGCGAACTATATTTAACTTATTTTTCATTGTTATGTTTATTTATATAGTAATACACACTTAGAAGAAAAGGTTTTTTTATCTATATTCTATATATCTATTTAACTTCAAGATTTCTTTTATTTATTTAAATTTTCTTTGGTTTGTATTCTAGGTACTGGTCGATTTGTCTCGTGGCATTTTTCCTGCAGCTATGCCGAGCCCAGCCGGGATGCCAGGAGGTGCTTCGGCACTTGGGATACCCTTGCAGGTGCAGTACCCTCCACGACGGCGAGATGTCCCTCGATTGCGACAAGGTGGTCCTCCCGGGCGATTTTCCCGCACTTCCGTTCCAGGCCGACCTCGTCGCTTTCTCGCAGAGATCTGCCGGAAACCAGGGGATACCGACCCAGGCTTTCGTCCAAGCCGGTAAGTCCTAAATACTTTCTTTGTACTGGTTCTTAAGCAAAACTTATATTTTACTCTGTTATTTGAAGGGCTTCCCTTGCGAAAGTTAGACTTCACAGATAACTCCATCAGGAGGCTGAACGAAAGAGTTTTCGCCGGGTTGAAATCGACACTTCAGGAGTTGCGTTTGGGCCAAAACCTCCTCGGTGACTCTTTGAACCCGATTTTTTCTACGACGGAATTCCACGGGCTTGGCCAACTCAAGATACTCGACCTCCGTTACAACCACATCAAAGCGTTGGAAGAGGGACTTTTGAAAGGTTGCGACAACCTGTTGGTAAGTCGAAAATGATATATTTTATCCGAAATACTGTTGAAAACGACGCTCTGCAGGAGTTCTGGCTGGACGGAAACAGCCTCACGGAAGTGCCATCGTCGTCGCTCAACGGCCCCAAAGTCTTGAGGCTTTTGTCCCTCAGAAACAATAGGATAAGTAAGTTGAGAAATCGAAAAAATGGCTTGGAAGTGGTTTTATTCTTCTTTTGGTCCACAGGTATAATTAAGGACGGCGCTTTCGTTGCACAACAAAGGATGGAACGTCTGGATCTCAGTGGAAATAGGATCACCGTCATCGAAGAAGGAGCGTTTTCGGGGCTGTCCACCCTGCGCCAACTCGATTTGGCTCATAACAAGCTCATCAAGCTAAACAGCGATGTTTTCATCGGTAACGCCAGTAATATTTATTATTAATTGCATTTTTAATATTTACACAAACTATTTTTTAGGAGCCGAAAGTGTCCAAGAGCTGGACATGTCTGAGAACTTTCTTCTCGAGTTCCCGACCATTTCCCTAAAACAGTTCACATCTCTGACATTTTTAAATCTATCTTCGAATCTTATAGAGGTCCGTTTACCATAAAATCTGACATTCATCATAAAAATACATTTTTCTTGTTTTTTTAGAAATTAGATAACGCCAACCTAGCTTCAGTTCCTGATTTAGAACTTCTTGATCTCAGTAGAAACAATATCGGTAACATCGCGCCTGGCACCTTTCTCGGGCTGCGGCACCTACGACATTTAGATTTAAGTGTAAACACTCTCAGGACAGTAAGTCGATTAGTAGTAGTTGTGTTAAAACGGACTTTGCAGTTTCGCGATTGGTGATTTTTACAGGTGGAAGACGATGCCTTTGAAGGTCTGAACAAACTCGAGACTCTTTCTCTGCAAGATAACAACATACTTCTTGTACCTGCAAGTGCTTTGGGTCGACTGCCGAGGCTTACGCGGCTGGAGCTGGATTTCAACAGAGTCGCAGCTCTCGGATCCGACATATTGCGTGCCGTCGCCGACCGGGTGACTTCTCTCAGCCTCGCCAGGAACGTAGTCCGCGAACTTCCTTCGGACGCGTTCCAGGTAATTCGATGTTTTATCCCAACTAGAATTTCGACGATTAATAAAAATCTATTTGCAGGATTTCAAAAAGCTCAAGTCCCTCGACCTAAGTGGAAATCTTCTGCTCTCAATAGAAATGAGCTCGTTTACCGGCTTAGAAGAAACGCTGGAGGTCCTGGATCTTCGCGGAAACAGGCTTTCTTCGCTTCCGAGCAAACCGCTGACCCTTTTGCACCTTCAGAAACTAGATTTATCGCATAACCACGTGACTGAGTTGGCGAGGACTTCGTTTCTCATGGTACCCGCCCTGCTGAACTTGAACCTCAGCTACAATCTTCAACTCGGCTCGATACCCTCGACGATCTTCCAATCGCTGACCCACCTGGAGATGCTGGATCTGAGCCACACGGCTCTCAAAGTTCTTAGCCCGGAACTTCTTTTGAAAACCACTTCTCTTCGATGGTTGTCTTTCAGTCACAACTCCTTACAAGAACTGACCGAATCGGCTTTTCAAAACTTGAAAAATCTCACAGTCCTGGATTTGTCGAGGAACCACATCACTAACATTCGCCCTGGGTGTTTTGCGTCTCTCAGCTCGCTGAGAAGACTAGACCTGAGTGGGAATAAATTAACTTCTTTCAAAGGAGAGTTTTTCGTGACTAGAAGGAGCAATGGGACACAGTTGGAAGAGCTAAACCTATCGGACAACGACTTGAGTTACTTATTCCCTTCATCTTTTAGGGTGCACCCTCGTTTAAAAAAAATATCCGCCTCGAGAAACAGGTTCAGCTTCTTCCCTGCGGAATTGATTGTAAGCCTGAACTACCTTCAAGAAGTAGATCTAGGCGAGAATATGCTAAAAAGTTTGGAAGAATTCGATTTCGGTCGATTGCCACGATTGCAGGTTCTGAAATTCAACAAAAATCAGTTGGACTCGATTAGCGAAACAGCTTTTCATAACTCAACTCAGCTGCAAATCATCGATTTGTCAGGAAACGCTTTAGAAAGGCTTGGAGAGAGGACGTTCCAAGGGCTCGGAAGACTAAAGCTCTTGGACTTGAAGGACAATCTCTTGTCCGAACTGCCAGATTCAATCTTTGAAAGATCACGCTTAAGGATGTTGGAAAATGTCGATTTGTCCGGAAACCTTTTTGAGTTGCCCCCGTTGAAGGCGCTGCAAAAGCAGTACTTCTTCTTAATGTCCGTCAACCTTTCGAAAAATAAACTTAAAGAAATCCCTCCCGATGATAGCATAATGGTCAACATCAAAAGGTTGGATTTGTCGTTTAACCCATTGACACCAGAATCAATATCGAACGTTTTAGGAGAGCCGAAGACCGTTCGAGAATTGAACCTGGCCGGAACCGGAATAACACACATTACAAGACTGGAAACGCCATTTTTGCACCACCTCAACCTGTCTTTCAACGAAATTTCTGATATTCCTGAAAAAGTATTCGAAAGGCCGACTTTACTCGAAGTTATCGACCTTTCTCATAACAAAATCGGCGACATTAGCGGCACACTGTCACAAGTCTGGGGCAAGCTCAAGAATTTACACACAGTCGACCTCTCTTCGAATCCGATTAAAAACATAATTCAAGGCGACTTGAACGGCCTCGAATCACTGAGAAAGCTGAACATATCAAATTTAGAAGAATGCACAAGAATCGAAAAAGTGGCGTTTAAGAATTTGGGCAATTTGGCCGAACTGGAGGCTTACGGCTATCCGAGATTGGGCTACCTGGATGTGACCGGTCTTCTACACAGTCTTCCGACTCTGGAAGTTTTAGACGTGGAAGTCAAAGACTCTGCAGTAGGGAGCGAGCAGCTGTCTGCTGCGATGAACCCGAGGTTGGCCAAACTAGGAATCAGGGGTCGGCGAGTGAGAAGCATCTCATCAAGCGCTTTAGCAGGTCTGAAATCGCCCGAAATCACTGTAGAACTGCGAGGGACATCTCTCAACATCCTTCCACCGGCTCTCTTGATACCACTCCCACGTTCTTCGAAAGTAAAACTGGACGTTTCCGACAGTTTATTGAGCACGTTGACGACCCAGTTTTTGACAGCATTGGACGACAGGAGAGGCGACTTGACGCTAATCGGGCTAGACAGCAACCCGATTTCGTGCGACTGCAACGCAAGGGCGCTACGAAGATCTGGATTGGGCAGTAAGATAATATGTTCGTCACCGCCTCATCTGGAAGGCAAATTGTTGGTAGAAATCGCTGACGACGAACTGACCTGCGATCCTCACCGCCCAACGACAAGTACGACCGAACCACCGTCGACGTACAGAACTAGCAGAATAACCATGAGGACGACAGAGCCCGACATCATCTGGTCAGTCGCTCCACCGACGACCACACACAGAATGCCGACCAAGACCTTGATGGGAGCGACAATGATAAACAACGACGACACCTTGATTATCAGCATTGTAGGAGGCGTCGTAGCCTTCATAGCAGTACTAATTATAATTATATGCATTGTGAGGTTGCGTTGGACTGACAATCCATACCCCGGAAACCCAATGGGTCCAGTTCCGCCTATGATGCCTCACTGCAACAACCCAGGCTGCCCTTGTCCCAAACTACCACCCATGCTTCCCATCGGGACACCGTACGGTCCGACCTACGCCACACTCCCTTCAAAGCGCCATGCTCCCAACTCAATCTCTCCACCGCTCCGAGCCTCTTATTCCACTCTTGGTCGTGCCCATTATCCTCCTAATCAGCCGTTCTATATCGCATATCCTCCAGGTGATGAAAAAGATCACAACGCCAGGTAGAACCAGAATCCCCTTAACAACGCTGTACATAGAACAGTGGCATATTGATAAACTTATGGACAATTTGTAAATATTTTTAGAACGTCGAAGAAACAGGCTTGACTCCAAATATAATTTTAAAACATCCAATCGAGCAGAGTACCTTGATATATATAAAGTACAAAATGTTCAACACACTACTTAGCTCATACATATGTAACCTAGTTCAACGTATTCATGCTCAACTTATTCATCGAATTGTGTTCTTCTTGTGGTAAACATCTATTTATATATATATTGGAGATAAGCTACAGACTAAAATGTTATGACTGTTATTTGTTTACAATGACAAGAACACATAAATATCAATTGTACATAACATTCTTAGTTCTATTGAAACGCCTATCAATAAATTTAGTTTAAGTTAATAGTTTTAAATAGGTTAAGCATAATTTTAATAGGTTTATCGTTTGAATTTTTGTCTTTTGTTTTTACATTTTTTGTAAATTTGTTTTATAAGGCTGCACTGAATAATAAAAGAAGCCACATAGATATAATACTGTACACAACACAATTAATTTATTTGGTTTTATAATATACATAGATTATTGTTTTTAATTGAACAATGTTGTGATATAAAAATAAAAAATATTAAATCTTAACTGAAAAATCTGACGGAAATAGCCAATTTCTAGTTCACCCCATACACATAAATAAACAAAAGGTTTTTTTTATTTGTAGTCTATACATGTTGAATACAGGACGCCATATTGGGAAGACGAATCAAAGCGGGAGCGTGGTTAAATAAATTATTATTTATTTAAATTTAGCAAAACATATTAAAATCACAAATAAAGTCATGACCAACTATAGTGGGTATATGCTACTAAAGATCCAACCTACTTGGACGTTAACATTATTAGGGCTTACCTTCCATCATCCTCATAAGAATCGATCATGGTTCACTCATCTACCTTGATACTACACTTCGACAATTGCAATAATAACTTATCGATAGTGTAATCATTAATTTAACTATTTAATACTGGATTACTAGAGCAAAGAAGCCAGCGACAGTCTCGAACACACACTGATCGTCTCATTTCTACTGTCTACCGCACACGGTTTCTTCCATCGTGCCCGACTGCTTCTGAACTCTGCAGGAACCAAATGAGTTAAATCCACCGACATACGTATATGCAATATTTCAAATGTCATCACAGTACCTTTTTTTACACGATCACAGCACTAACACTAATGCAAGCGCTGCACCAAAGGACACGTGCTATGAGAAACCAGCCAAAGCTAGCACTTAGTGTGAGGGATTAACGGGCAAGGTGGTCTTGAGGCCATCGTTATTGACGCAAAGTGACGGGTTCTCGGGAGTGGAATGTATAGAGAGGGCTCGACTAGATCGAGAAGTTGGCGTGAAGCACATGGAATCGAGAATGGATCAGTTCGTTCATAAAAGTTATGTTGAGGTTATTGTAGATAGTGAGGTTAGTGACGTAGTAAGGAGCTTGGATGAATTTTGATGCTGAGGACTTTTGATTGCAAGGATTGGATGTGCTGGATGTTGGAAGGCTTAGCAGAACCTCACAGTACCACTCCTTTTGTCCAAAGTAGCTGCAGTAAAGTCTTGTCTAGGGTTAGTTTAGAATTGACGAACAACTTGGATTTCAGCCGTCTTCATAGTTATCCTAGTCTTAGTTAGTTTTTGACTCTTAAGTCTTGTGTGGGGATTCCACGTCAGTCTGCTGTCTAGGTAGAGTCCTGAGTATTTGATTTGAACAGAAGTCTGTATATATTTGTTATTAATGTACAGTGGAAGGCAAAACTTTTTTTATTTCAATGTGATTAAACACGGAGAACATTTTTCTTCATTCAGTCTTGACCTCCACTGCTTGCACCAGTCTTTGATAAGCTCAAGGTGCTCTTGGATGTTGCAGGTGGCTTGGATATGAATCGAGGTAGAGGACAGATTTGTGGTATCGTACCCAATAGGTGGTGACAATAATAGTAGCATTTGCAGATAGTTTAGCAATATAGATAATATAAAGGATGGGACCAAGAATGTCCCTTGTGGGGTGCCAGCTTGTATCAGTCTGATTTCCATGGCTGCACCTCATTCTGAAGTAGCTGTTGATTAGGTAGGAATTTAGGGTAAGCTAATAAGGAGTGGGCAGGAAGCATTTAAGTTTACAAAGCATGCCCAGGTGCCAGACCTATGAATAGCCTATGTGATAAATAGATAAGATTAGAATATAAACATTAGGTCAAATTTGGTGGTGGTTGTTGGTCTGCAATGAAGTCATTGAACACATGTTAACTGATCGAGTAAATTTAGCCATCCTCCTTTACATCACTAACCTCACTATCCACGACCTCAACATTCCTTTTTTTCAACGAGCTGATTTGTTACAGATTCCCAAAATTTCATACTAACCTCTCGATCCATCCTAAACCTATTGCTCAAGCCCTTTCTACACATTCTCAAGAACCTGCCACATCGCTTTAATCAACGAGTCCCCTTGCCCACTATTCCCTCACAGAGTCAGCATTGGATGTCCTCTAGGTGCATTGTTAGTTCTGTGGCTATGGTAGACCAACCAAAATCCCAATTATGATTTTTACTCTAACTGGAAAATGCTTGCTTGTCTGCTATCACCCCAATACATTCAGAGAATAGCGTATGATTTTGGAGCTACCGCCTGACAAAAAACACCAATGTAACCCACATGCTCGATCAAAATGAAAACTGAAAATCTGATACAAAAGATCAATACTCAAATCTCCAAACAAAAAATTACCGCTCTCATCATTCCAATTTAGACTTACATACCTTACAGTGTACAAGAATGTCAATCCAATTGTCACAAAATCTAACCCCATCCAAAAATCTTAAGTACAACAAAACTTACACAGCTTTGTTCTATGTATATTCGTATATTCAAAAGTTAAAACTGGCTATTGACTGCAATGGTCCTTTTATTCCAATCCAATAATCTGCGTATCCAGATACCACCCGACAATCTAATGGTGTAAAGTAAGGACTCCTAGTGGCTGTTATTGACTCCATGTCCACCTACTAAAGCACAAAATCACTATATAGTTGCCATTTAAATGCCACATCAAATATATTATGTACATTCAATATGTGTGAATATTTCCTTTGCTGGTTGCATTTTGTAGATAGTTGTTAAATAAAAAGAAATAAAGAGATTTGCTGGGAATGCAGCACCCAAGTAGTTAGAGCATCCGACTCATATTTGTCACACTATTGGTTCTGGGTTTGAATTGTCTATAGTCTATGACTTTTTAACTGATAATAGTATGAAAAATGTTATGTGGTTCGACCACTTGTCTTAGATATCCAATGAATAATTGAACATTAAGCTCTCCTGTAAACACTCCATCGGCCACTAGGGAATTCAAGAGATCCGCTTAATAGTTTTTCCTAAATTGTTAGCTATGGCTGATCAGTGGAGGGCTCTCCTTCCACCTATTTTCCTGACTAGAGAATCCATGTTATGCAGTGTGACAATGATCTTGAACTCCAGAATTAAGTTTGACTGGGATTCACTTGGATCCATAAGGTAAATTTGTAAGTATTCTCATTTTATACAATTTGTTTCCATTTTCATATATATTCATACATTTTGTATCTTATTACCCGTATTAGAATTGTTTTCTTTGAAACATTGTGCTTTAGTATTATTTATAAGCTGTGGATCTCTTAGATGCAATGCAATCGTTCCCCCCTTTTTTTTTCTCTGATGTGTCGGTAATTTTTTTTCTTATATTTTATAAATAATTTTAATATTTTTTCCAGAGACAAAACATAACATTTTCTCGTCACAGTACAGAAGACGTTGCAAAAATTCATGCCCTGCTTTTTAACGACAGTGATGATGATGAACACAACATATAACAGCTGTGACACCCTATAAGAAGAACCATTCATATACATTAGAATATATATAATGAAGAAGCTTCAGATATAGATGAAGCTGAAAAAATAGAGGAGCATGAAGAAGACTCAAATTCTGAACTGAGCGATGTAAATTCTGACTATGAAGAGGGAGATGGTTCATTTTATACTTACGACAGGAAAATCGGGAAGAAATTTGTTGACACCATAGTTGGAGGAAGACTACATTCAGCAAAAGAAAAAAAAACGCATGCACGCACGCGCGCGCACACACACACACGTATGTGTAAGTATGATGTTGCATGACTGATGTTTTACTAAGGTTCAATAATTAATCTTTTGCTAAGTCAGACACGTTATTGATCTTTATGTTCCTAATTATATTTAAGTACATAATATTTTTGTTGCATTATGTTTTGCTTAAAAGTTTTAATAAAAATTATGAAAACATCATTTGCATTTTATTTTGGCAAAAAAAATTGCTGGTTTTTCCCATAATTATCAAAATTTGATAAATGAATCTCACAAAGATTTGTGCTTGTTTTAAAATAGAACCCTAGATCACATCAGATAATGACTCGAATTGACCAAGCAGCGGAGCGGTGCGTTTAAGGATTATATTTTATAAATAATTTTTAAAAAAACAAACACAAATGCTATTAAAAATAATTTGTTATTAAAGAAATAAAAGAAAATGACAATGCACATCAAAGGGAGAATATAGTCAATATACACATAGAAAAAGAATTTTTTGATACTTTAGCAGACGAGCCGATAGGAAATGTAACGTCCCGCAGTTTCAGAAGACCTGATTATTTTCACCGCTTGGCCTCTCTTGAGGCCGAAATACCTCGCGACAGGATCTCCCGCTTGAATCCTCATGAGCTGGTTTTCCTTGAGAGTGTACCTCTGGAGGAGTTCCTGTTTTTCTTCTGGGGTGAGGACAACATGCTCCGGAACCAGCTCGTGCTCGGTGATGTTGATGAGAAGCTCTGACTCGAGGAACTGCTCCAAGATGTATTTCGGCGCCATGTCGACGAGTGATTGCTTAGCAGAAGGCGTCATCCCCTGCTGAACGACGATGATGGCCCGATGGATGTTCTCCTCCTGCATCCGCTGACAGTACGTCTTTATTGTTTTGATCCCGATTTTCGGTTCGTCCGGGAAAAATACGAACATCTGGTCCGTCGGATCGTCGTTGTGAGCGACCAGGACGATCAAATCGCTCCTCGCGGGCCTCTTTTCGCTCGGCTTGTTCCCGAACTGCTCTTTAAACTGATCAAGAGTCTGGTCCAACTCATCCTGAGTCACGAGGTAGCCCCTGTCGTGGCAAAGCTGCATTACAGTTTTCCTGATCCTCCACAGCTTGTACGTTTCCTGCTCATCATCCATGATAGACGAAGAACGATGATCCTTGCAATTCGTCGACGATGAACTATGAAGTACAGTTTCACTCACTAGCCGTGTGAAACCTCAAGGATAACAGTCGGAAGGTTCCGTCTTCTGTAATATGTAAGTTCAATAAACTGTTCATGCTTACAATATAAAAATTAACTGTTTATCATTAAACAACTAAAAATAAATATTAATATTTAGAAAAAATTAGAATGTTTATTGATGAGTTAAATGTTGCTGGTAGAAATGGTTATTTCGCATTTCTATCAGGATAAGCAAGACTTGTGTGCAGGAAGTGGGAGAACGGACATAGAGCACGTTGATGTAAATTTAAATCAAAATTTAAAAATTGTGTATTCAGATGTAATACTTTATCAATAGAAATTTATTTTCACATCCACAATAATGGTGTTCCTTTTACAGAAAAGCATTTGTGAAAGTAAAGTAGTAATGGAAGATGTACCAGTAATAAATGTTGGAGAAACCACTGCTGCATCAGAGCCATCATTCTCGTGGGCTAATTACAAAACATCGCTATTAAAAAACCCTGTTTCCTCACATTTGAGAAAAGGTATTTGTATTTATCTTACTTTTTTTATTGCTGTTGCATAGGTAATTGCAATGAAAGCTTGAAAACAAATTGTCAATTAGATATCCATTGTTTTTTGATAACATTTAACACTGGCCCAACCCTGTTAGATCGGGCAGTGTTAACTAGCCGATTCTTACAGGTCTACGTCGATTTCCCGATTTAACATGACCAAATAGCTAATTAATACAAAGATCGTGAATACTCCTTATGTATTTTTTTAGGGTACAAGAAAGCACCTTTAAGGGACAAGACATTGAAGTGGGCCTTAATGAAAACCAAGTTAGCTGAGCTTCAGAAACAAGGGTACGACATCTTGTTGAAAAAAAAACTTGACTCATTGGACCACCAAATGTTATGTGTGAAGAAAAAAAGCGAGGTACGACTAAAATGTATGCTAGAGGAGCATAATGTAAGGATGCTTCTAATGCAAAAAGAGCACGAGGCACGCCTTGAAGTCCTCGAATTAGAAAAGGCACTTCTGACAGAAAAAATAAAAAAACATGATTAGAAAAAATTATTGCTTTTTTACAATTTATTTTCCCTTATTATTACATAATTTTAATTTACATTACATTTTCAATATTTTATTTACACCAAATTATTTATCTTTTATTGGGTTGTCCGGAAAATAATGCAGGATTTTGGTATTAAACAAAAAAAAAGAAACTAGTTACTTTAAAGCAATGTTCTTTAATCAAAATAATTTCCCATACTCTCAATACATTTCTCCCAACGTGTTTGTAACTTATTAATTCCGTCTGAGTAGAATTCAGAATTTTTAGAATTGATAAAGTCAATAAATGCATTTTCCAGTTCCGTTTGATTTTTGAATATTATGTGTTGTAAGTAGTGGTCCAGGTGTCTAAAAAAATGGTAGTCAGTAGGCGAGAGGTCCGGAGAGTAGGGTGGGTGAGGCAAAGTTTCATAGCCAAGCTCCAATAATTTTTGTGACGTTACACGTGACACATGTGGTCGAGCGTTGTCATGCAACAAAATGGGCCCTTTCCGATTGACCAAAGAGGGCTTCATTACTGCCAATTTCTGATGCATGGTATTAATTTGGTTACAGTATGATTCAGCATTGATGGTTTCGCCAGGATTTAAGAAGCTGTAGTGTATTAAACCAAATGAAGCCCACCATACCGTAACCATTACCTTTTTTTGATGAGTTGGGGGCTTTGGAAAATGTATTGGAGCTTCTCCTTTGTCGAGCCACTGTCCAGAACGTCTAGTGTTATCGTAGAGAATCCACTTTTCGTCACATGTAACAATTCTGGCCAGAAATGGGTCATTTTTGTTTCGACAAAGAAGTGATGCACAAACATCAAAGCGCTGATTTTTTTGGCGATCGTTTAATGAGTGTGGAACCCAATTTTCGAGTTTTTTCACTTTTCCAATCGCCTTGAGGTGGTCAGCGACGGTCGTTTTACTGACTTTGAGTTGCTCTGCAAGTTCTCGAACAGTTGTTTTGGGGTTTTCTTCCACCACTGATCGCAGAACATCATCATTAAGAGAGGAAGGCCTTCCACGACCTTCTTCATCTTCAAGGCTGAAATCTCCCTCCCGAAATTTTTTAAACCACCTTTGCACAGTGCACTCATTAACACAACCCTCGCCCCAGACTTGGTTAATGTTTCTAGCCGTTTGGGCTCCGCTTCGGCCGAGTTTAAACTCGTAAAAGAAAATCGTACGAAATTCTCGCTTTGACATTATAAGGATGACTGAATTATTTCCAAGTAGCGGAATGCTACAGAGGTAAACAAACAATATCATTTGGAAGAGGATTAATAAGTGTTGACATTCATACAAATGAGTAATCCTGTAAACGTAAACAGAATATTTTATATAGATTTTTTTTAATGAAAACTTAAAATCCTGCATTATTTTCCGGACAACCCAATATTATGGATGTATAAAAATATATATTAATATACATTTTTTATTGCTTCTTTTCATAATTTCTATACCTATGATGGTGTTTCAATAAATGGAATGTCTTCCATGAAGGTTAATAATTTGTGTATTAGTCGAACTGGTTCTTTCAAAATACATGCTATATTGTACAACAACTCCCCTCACCCAAATTGAAATTGCACATCATTCCGATGGCAATTGTAGGAAAGTGACATTTCCAAACCCCATACAACCACTCGACAACATTTTTCGCCCTTATTAATGATTTGTTGTACAGTATTTCTGCTCTTGTGGTTGGATAACTTAAATTAGTTAACAGATATTTTTTTTAGAGGACTGTCAACTGTCACTAACTAAAACAAGGTCCTGCATATCTCCATTTTCAAACTGTTCTTAAAACTGATTTCATCGTGTGTGCTACCTGTCCACCCGGCAACAATGTTTTTAAACTTAAACTCTGCATCGCAAACTGTTTGTCCGTTCAATGAAAAGAATCTTTTCCTGTTGCGAAAAAGTTCTGCTTGATTAACAACTGCTAAAAATTAAACAGAAAAACTAAAAATAGAAAAACGATATAATTGCAAAGATTGTAAACAAACATAAATGCAATCAATAGCACCTATGCACTTTGGAAACTTGCTAATTTTGGACATTGAAGCACAAACAGTCGTTCTTCCAGATTCATTATCAGGGAAATGAATAAATCCTCATCTCAATGATGAGAGCTCGAGAAACTCTTAGAACCATCCTACATACAGTGTTAGATTTAAGCTAACTACTAAAATTATCACAAACTATCAAAAACGATTCCATTGCATAGCACAAGGTTGGAATATTTCAATTTACTCCAAGGTTGTAAGAAGAAGGCACAATGAACTCCTCAGGGCCTCCTGGGGTGGCCTTCTTACCACAGCTCAGAAAATATCCAGGCTTCATTTTGCACCAGAACATGTGAATTGAGCACTGGAAGATTAGGGAATATTTCTTTACAGATGAGGTGAGAGTTGACCTCAAATCAAAAGCCTTAATTTCATAGGGATACGCTCAGGAGAAAGTACATCCCATGCTATGATCCCTCAGGTGGCATCCCATAGTGGGTTATTAATATTCTGGAGAGGATTTCCTTGGATGCCTGCACAGAATTGGTTGTTGCGTGAGAAAGATCTCTAACTTCGCATGTAATGCATTTGCCCTCCTCCCCACATCGGTGAGAGATTCTTGCAAATGCAGGAAAATGCCACATAGAGGACGATCGTGGATGGCTACATGAATGAGGTTGGAATTGAGTGCTTGATGTGGCAAGCAGTAAAGATCGAAGTAAAGATTCAAACACATTTCGGCCCAATTTTAGCAACAAGTGCAATGGTTGAAGGAAACCCAGGTCCTAACACCTTAGAAGAGTTGGAAACGGCTGTTCTTGACGAATGGGAACAAATTCTTCAATATTTTACCAGAAATATTTTCCAATGTATGGAAATGCATTTAACAGACATGATTATGGTGGTTGAAATTCTTCATATTAATGGGACAAAAAAAATTTAAAATAGTTTTTTACCTCAAATTTTTTAAAAATTTTTGAAGTTACTTAATAAATGTTCTTTTAGAATTAGGTAATAAACATTTTATTTTTAAAAGTCTTATTATTACAAACGAACCTATTTTGGCATGCAAAAATCAATAAACCTAAATACATCAAAATTTAAGGGTAATGTGTTTATTTTGTCAATCAGTGTAGTTAGCTACCTCAGAGACAAATATTTTTAATTGTATATAAATCTTTGTACCATCCCTAACCCAAAATCGTTGTACTATCATATACAAAGATATATATCTATAAGTAAATGGGTTATTTACTTTAACGAATGTATTTATTTTCGTGAAAGCCCGGTTTATCCTCCAAATGCCCCTTGGAATATAGAGTACTCTGTGGTAGTGAGAATTAATGTGTGATAGTAACTTATGATTTTTCCTTCTTGAAGGTGGGATAATAGGTCATCTCAAAAAAACCACAACGTTTCAGATTTATTTTAATCCTTCCTCCTAACAAGTTGACAGTCAGGTTCAAAATATTAAAACGCTTGTTCGGAATCTGAAAGACTTAAATATGTACCCACTGGCTCTTTTTTAAAATAAACTGTTATAAAATATTAATGATAGACGACCACTGTTAACTCACCTGAAGAAGGATTAAAATAAATCCGAAACGTTGTGGATAAAAACTGGTTGTGGTTTTTTTGAAATGACCTATTATCCCACCTTCAAGAAGGAAAAATCATAGGTTAAACTGTTGAGGTCGAAATATAAGAAAACATCGTGTGAAAGTAATTTATTAGCGTGAATAGAGAGTCTTATCCCCAAAGGATGTATATCTGGGGTAGTATGAATGCTAATCAGACTATGCTTTTACATTGTCTATCTGTTTCTGTGCATTTTTATTTATTATTTGTGTTATTTTATCCACAATTGACGAAGGCCTTGAAACAGAAGGCTAGCAATAAGATAAAGAAAAGTGAGTTGGTTTCCGTTGTACCATGAAATATAATAACTCAGCTGGAGAAACAAAAAAAATTAGTAGGATTAAAACGCAAGAAAGACGAGAAAAAATCTAAGAAAAGAGGGCTGACGATCAATTCAATTTATAAAAATAAACAAAAATGAAATAGCATTGAAACTGAAAACACCGTATAGTTTAGTTCCAATTTTTAGGCGCACGTGTTTGTTACGTCACGCAAGTGCACAATCGTCGGTTGTCGCATTCTCCAGCACTCGTACTAACTGCTAAGTTCAGCCGGTTCCAGCGTTTTAACCCATTTTCCGTATTCTTCTCCTGGAGAATAGTTTTTGTTTTTAAAAAAAGCTGTGTTCGAATTAATTTGGACCGATTGAATCCCAGGCGAAGCTTTTTTTCTGACGAAAGGCGGAAAGTCGAGATTTTCCGCTCGGATGTGATCCACTCCGTTGGGCTTTCAACATTGCCAGTCCGTTTTCAACTGCCATTATTTTTTCCTTCGTGTTCTTTCCATTTTGTGCAGTAGTGAAGCATAACTGATAAAGTAAGTCATTTTATTTTCATTTTTTATTAGTATTTTTTCTTATTAAATAATTTATTGTCTCTAACCTTACCGAACAGTCAGAACTGTTCATGAGAATTGCCACCAAACAACCGGTTGGAAGATTAATAGATCTGTAGACCAGTCAGTTGAAAGTACTCGTTGTACAAAAAAAGTACATTTTTTCTTTAATAAAAACGTGACGTTTATTTGTATTACTACATTAAAAAAAAAAAAAAAATGGCTGTATAGTCGAAACTATAAATCATATTGCATTAACTAGCGTTGATAAGTGAGACATAAATTGTGAAATCTTGAAGTCTGTTGCATGATAAACCTGCGGTTTGCCTTATCATCCTGTTCTTCCGACACATAAGCGATGGTGGGTAGGCCAGAATGATTGGTAATGACTGTACTAATCTGGGGGTATTCTCGGTTGGACCATTCGTGAGTCGAAAGGGAACTGAGCTTAGCGCTCTGTTGGACTTTTTATTTTTGACCATGTTGGACCAAAACACAAACCTTCCGTATTCTTGTGAATGACAAGTGTCCGTGCCAAGGATTGCGTTGAACTTTTTACCCCTACAAGAGTGTACAGCGTGTTCACATAATTGATGGATGATGGAATTATGTAGAAGCAGACTCCGCTTTTCCACACAAATAACCCCACAGAATACAAATATAAACTATGAATCATTTTATGCGGACTACAAACCGTCTATTCTATGCACCCCATTCGACTGTTCATATTGTAATTACTGTTACCAAATAAATAACCATCAAAAAAGACTGAAAACCTAATGAAAAGACGACCCGTGAATTGATTGATTTTTTTTAACCTGGAGTAAGTTTAAAGGAAACATAACAGGCAGCAACACGTTGGAGTACCCCGGTAAACCTTCAGAACACCAGCTGAACACTGACAAAGACAATGAGTGAATTATTGTTATGAAGAATGGTTCATTGTGTCATAACGCAGGATGTGCAGCTAAAGAAAATGTATTTTTAATAATTACATGTTTAGTGTTTCATTAAATTTAAGACAAAATATACATTTATTGTCAGTAACCTGAAAACTCACTTGTAATTTGATTTATCATCTGATTTTGTCATCTGCTGTTGGGTCCAAATGGGTTCAGTAATCTACTCATTTGTTGGTCCGATCAGTCTATAAATATTAGTCGAACAGGGTCGCATTTTACAAGCCAATGGTCCAACCGGCGGCATATCCTCCCTAATTTTCGACCAAAAAAAAAAATGTATCATACTATATGTAGAGATTAGTGACCGTTAATCGATAGTTATTCAGATATCGTGAGATGCGAAATCTGAATAAGTATCATACTATATTTTTTAAATTTATTTATTTTCACTAATTTCGTGGTCTGCTTGACCAATTAATATATTATAATTAATTAAGGTTTTTAGTTGAGATAAAAAAGTCAATGGCACGAGCGGGATTCGAACCCACGATCTTCGGCTTGATACGCCGCTGCTCTACCACTTGAGCTATCATGACCTCAATCGACTCGGACACCAACTTCCCATCTCAACCGCACCTTTGAATTTTCCCTCCTTTTTGCCATGGCCGCTCGTGCCATTGACTTTTTTTATCTCAACTAAAAACCTTAATTATAATTTATTTATTTTATTTTATTTTTTAAAGAACAGTTTTGGTTTAATTCAGTGGTTCCCAAACTTTTTTGACCCATGGACCCATTTCTATTGTCAAAAATTGCCTACGCACCCCCAACTGAAAAAGCCATAAATGCATAATATAAAAATTACCATTAAAAAAATAAGTTGAAGAAGTATTTTCGAAATTAGAAATTATAATAGTAATTACTTTTGTTTAAAATAAAATATATAAAATATAATGACTTGGATGAATGTGCTGAGATTATGATGTTATGAGTGTAATTTCTAATCGGTTTCTTTCTTTTGTGATGAGGTTCCTAATGGCACTGAATCCATGTTCCACCAAATAGAAAGACGGGAAAGCAGTCACAAACTTCTGTACTATCACCCATTATGCAGGATATAAAATTGGGATCTGTTTTTGTAACCAGAATTTGTGGTATCCTTGTTCAAACATTGGTTTAAGTCCCTCATTTGTGGATATTTCAATAAGCTGCTCCTGTATTAGTATGGATTCATCTGTCAAAGGGTTCAACATCCAGTCGGGAATATCAGTCTTCAAATCTTGGTTCAGGTCTGTATGAAGAGCAGTTAACTGTTGACAGTAAGCAAGCAAATCTTCATCTCTAATTTGTAATTTCGAAAGATTCGAAAACTGAGAGCATTCTCCTCTTCCAAAGTTTTGCTTGTAAAGAAAAAGTTTTGCAACAAACGCAGATATAACTTTTAGTTTTGATTAAATTTAATTGGTCACCTTGTAATTTCAAATGTTTTGTTAAACTTGGCAATTAAATCAGACATATGGCTATGTCATTTTTTGAGTTAATTAAATTGTGTCGCAAATCATTGTCTTTGGTTTCCAGGAATTCCAACACTGAATCAAAGAGCGCATAAAATCGATTTAAACATGCATTTTTAGATAACCAACATAATTATATTATTTTATATTAAACCTTGCACGGACCCCCTGATGTTGTTCAGAGACCCCCAAATCAATTTTAATTTTCCACGGACCCCCTGAATGATACCCCGGGGATCCCTGGGGGTCCGTAGGGACCACTTTGGGAACCACTGGTTTAATTTATTTATCAAACTTAAACATGGTAATCTATAAGATACAGTTGTAGATGTAGGTATAGATACAATGTACAGGGTGGGTAATACGTTGAGCCCTTTGTGTAAGTTATTATATCCCCCGTTTTGTATTTTTTAGCATACCAGTAAGTTCGAAGCTCATCAATAAATTTGGTTAGTAGGCCCGGTTTCAGTATTTGAATTTCTTTTATACATGTAGTGTTTAGTGAACGTTAGTTAATGATTATTTAGAGATTGTGAGATGCGGTCTGGTGCGATGTGGGTTTAGAAAAATTTCCTTTATCATGCCAACGTTTCAATCTTTATTGAGATCATCTTAAGGGCCTGGGATTATAACATTGTTTAAATTATACAAATACATTTAAGATGTGATTCATTTTCACATCTTACATGTTTTTGTATAATTTAAACATTGTTTATAAATCCCAGGCCCTGATGATGTTCTCAGTAAAGATCGGAATGTGGCATGATAAAGGCAATTTTTTCTAAACCCATACATCACACCAGATGGCATCTCACAATCTCTAAATAATTTTTATGGTTACGTTGTACATCTCAAAACACTTCCTGCTGCGGGCAAATGTTAGTGCCACAGTTTGCTAGTAATTGTATTTATGTCTCCTCCACTCTTTGCAGAATCTGCATGTGTGGTGTTGTGTTATATCAATCTTCTTCATGCAGTCTGCAGAGTCCTGTTAAGACTCTAATATTTTCATACTTCCTTTGATACATTCTGTTCTTTCTTTACATCCAAACTTTGCTTGAAGGTTCTTGGATTGTTTATGCCCAATGATTGAATTTCATTGTTTCTTCATTTTTAATTTGTCTTTTTGTTTAACTAAGATACTCATTGGTAGTGATTTTTAATAAATTTATTAATAATTAAGATTCCTAATTAATGAAAGAATAACATAGCTTCATTTCTGTTGGTTAAGAATGAATTGACCCAACATAACAGTCTTCATCAATACATCTATATTAGTTGGGAATCATTAATTATTAATAAATTATTACAAATAACTAGAAGTATATACTTACTTTGATTGAAGATTATAGTTGATATATGTACAGTATAGTTGATTGAAGTGTAGATGCTTTGAGTTTGGCTGCTTTGCGAATATTTGTGTACTAAGTAAAGTTCTTGAGTACTGTAAGTGGACAAGAAACCAACAATTAGCCGAGCAAGGCGAGCACCCAATATTCTTGCTCGGTGAACAACCGATCATCCATCCCCACTAGTTGGGGTTTGGAAAACCTTTGCTCAGCATTCAGGAAATCCTACATGTCTGGAGACACCTTATATCACACTATTAGTAAATTTCTATGCCACAAAAGGGCTCAGTACTTATCAGCAGTATAGCAGTTCCTTTCCTTGCAACGGCATCCCCTCTCTCATTGCCCTCTACTCTATGTCTATGACGCGGGAGAGGGTGACTTTGTTTTTCATACCTAATATATTTAGTTTTGCAAATCAGCACCATCTTTGAGCTAATGATGTTTGAACTTAGTGTCTTGATGGCTGCTTGGCTATCTGATATGATAGCTATATTCTTATTTTTGTACTTTTTATTCCGATTGAATTGGGTACTCTTTCGATTGCATGGACCTCAGATTGGAAGATAACTGGTGTATTTTCCCATGGGTTCTGAGTATTTTGTTCTAGGTCCAAATAATCCTGTCCCTGTACCTTCATTGCATTCTGATTCCATCAGTGTACCAGCAAATGGTGCCATTAAAGGAGGGGTTTCTTTCTCTTTCCTATTCTTTTTTGGCATTTAAGTTTATTTGGAAATTTCGTTTGAATTCATACATCTTGATCAGGCATTTCTTGTAGTTGACGACTGTCAGATCTTGTTTCATTAGGTTGTTTCCCTCCATTTTAGCTTTAAGCTGGGAACACACTTACCCGATGCTACGCTACCTGACACAAATCCAAACTCCGATTTTCCATAAGATTGCATTACCCCCGTGCACATCTACCCGTTGCTATGCCATGCTAACCTACCCGACGCTCTGCGATCCCCACTGTCCAGATTTTTGTCGGGTCGCATAGAGTACAGTCAAAGACCAAAGAACTGGACCTTCATATTTTTATTCAAACTGCATGTATTATTGTCGTTATATTAATTATAACATACTTATTTTAATATAAACCAAATTAACTGCGATTAAAAATTAATTAGTTTTTATTTAAAAAATTAATTTTAATGGTTTTGTAGAAAATTAATCAAAATACCGGAATACGATTTTTTGATATAATGAATTTAACTAACAATTTATTGTACTCGCTTCGGCGGTACATATACTAAAATTGGAACAATTTATTACACGGTTTTGCCCATAAAATTTAATTAACAATTTATTTCATAGTTTTGCTTGTAAAATTACACCATTTTCGTCAGTAGCATCATAACAGGACACTCATATTTTTTGTAGTTTATTTCAAACTAAGTACACGTAATTTTGTCGTTATATTAATTACAACATGTTATTTTAATGTAAACCAAATTAATGAGATCAAAAATTCATACGTTTTTATAAATATTGTTTAATTATGATGGTTAGGAGTAACTTTATTTAAAACAATTAAGATTAACAAACAATTTATTAGATGGTTGTGTTCATAAAATTTAACTAACAATTTATTACAAGGTTTTGCTCAAAATAGTGCATTAAGAACAAAAGATGCGTTGTGATTGTGATAGTGATTATGTTACTGTACGCGACGTGTGCTTGCGTCGGATAGATGTGCACACCCCACCAAAATGTGGCAACGCGTCGGGTTGCGTCGCATGGCGTAGCATCGGGCAAGTGTGTTCCCGGCTTATATATATATTACACAGGGCGGGCGACCAGGACCCGAGGGGTTAAAAGCCTGAGTAGGCCCGTACCCCATACCCGGCTTAGCCATGTTGGAGGTACTCATAAACATATGGTGGAGGTGGGTTAATCCCAATAGTATTTCCATACCATCTTTAGGACATATTCTCATCACTCCAGTTATGCAAATGCATATGAGTGCATTATCAGCCCCAGGTTATTGAGCCATATGTCTTCTCTATATCATGTGCCTGTGTATGTGATAAAGCATATATTTATGTAATCATGGACAAGGGCAAAACCCTGCCTGCTAGGCTTCGGGTACCATGCAACAATACTGAATACAAAGACACAAATTTAATTTCTACGATTTTGTTGCAGGTAACATGAAGAAAGTTCGTCCAAGGGTGTTTTTTGACATAGAGGTCGGAGGTATAAACTTGGGCAGAGTCATATTCCAATTGTACACTGACAAATGCCCAATAACGTGCGAGAATTTCCGCGCCTTGTGCACCGGCGAGAAGGGGATCGGGAAGAACTCCGGCAAACCGCTGCACTACAAAGGCATCATATTCCACAGAGTCGTCAAAGACTTCATGATCCAAGGTGGCGATTTCACAGTGGGAAATGGAACTGGAGGTGAATCCATCTACGGAGGCACTTTTGATGGTAAGTAGTCGTGTTTAAACATTTCTGAGGAATCCTTGCCTTATTAATATTCATTGTAATTGTACATTTGTTATATTTAATTGCCTGAAGGCAAAATGTTTCTAAAGGAAATCTGGTGAGAATATCCAATGATCAAACTACTGACCAACTCACTCAACAAAATATCAATAGTTTACATAATTTCTTAAAAATGTAATAACCCTAATATTTTTCCTTCTTCCTCACGCAGTCATACAGATTTTTCTGTTGTGTCGATCTCCCCTGAAGGATTTCTTGTAATATTTTCAGTTTTTCTATGAGGTTGAGAATTCTTCTCAGGTGTAGGATATCTAGATCTGTAAGTCTAAAGAACAGCATTCCTATGCACCATAGCATTTTCCTAGCTATTCTTGGCAGTTGCGTAAGATATATTCTGTTATTTCTGTCTCTTCTAGACAAAGTCAACACTGCTCACTTGTTGATAGTCCCATTTTGTAAGGTTAAACTTCCAGTGCAGGACTGTTTTTGTTGAAAACCCCTGTTATGGGATATATTTTTTAAAACATATTTTTTGGTAAAGTACATAATAACAATTCTTTAGGCATATAAACATCATATTTGTAAATGAAAAGTTCGAAAAACATAACAAAGTTTGTCGGAGATAAATTGCCTATCTGTAAATCAGAGTTAGGCAATCTGCACAACATGCCTCACAAAATTGCAAAAGTGCTGTTTTCTACAAGGTTCAATTATAACTTTCACGTTTTATATGCTTATTTTGAAGGATAATTTAAAAAAAAATTTAAAAAAAATTTTGGTATTATGTACAACAAATTATATTATGATAATATGTATAATTAAATATTAACACATTAAACATTACAATAAACAAATAATGCTTCCTCATTTGAGGTTTCTGTTATTTTTATCCATTGTTTGTAAATAAAAAAAGACATTTTGTGAATAAAAAAAACTGAAATGTCATAATAAATGTTACAAGAGAAAAGTAAAATATAATAAAATTTATATATTACATATTGAATTATAGAAATACATTTAATATATATTTAATTATGTATATTTAAATATCTGCAATAAAATCATCAATATAAAAGAAAAAGTAAAAAATTTATACTAGATACTACTTATTAAAAAATGCAAAAAAAAAATTTTTTTTGATGTCCAGTTATTTTGGGTTGGTGCAAAATTAATGCAGGTTTTTTTTTCGCAGATGCTCGTCATGAAAACAAAGCAAAATCCTCAAATCTAATTTATGAATTATTATAAATTCTTTTAACTGTTATTTTTTATACAAAATGTTTTAGTTTACATTTAATTTAGAAGAGTGTGAGGATCTGCGAAATTAAATATGTCCAAACTTGATTTTCGCCAAATTTATTTGTAGAAATTTAGTCTCTTCTGTTGCACGCCCAAATGATCCATTTCAATTGAATCGTGTGATGAGAAATGGATTCTGTATGATGACAGGAGGTGTACAGGTCAGTCAGTGGTTGGACAAGGATGAAGCGCCAAAACACTTCCCTAAACCAAATCTGCTCCCAAAAAAAGGTTATGGTGACTGTTCGGTGGTGTACTGCTGTGGTTGTTCACTATAATTTACTGAATCATGGTGAAACTGTTACAGAAGAAAATTATTGCCAAGAAATTGACAAAATGCATGGGAAACTACAGTGTGTTGTCCAGCATTGGTAAGCCGTAAAGGGTCAATTCTTAATAATTACCCCAGGTCACATGTAGCAATGCCAACCCTGCGGAAACTTAAGGACTAAGGATAAGAAACCTTACCGCACCTTCACCCGCCCTTTCGCTAACAGACTTTTTAGGCATTTCGATCACTTCTTGAGGTAAAATATTTTTAGAGAACGCGGTGAAGCTGAAAATGCATTCCAAGACTTTATTGTGGGTCGAAATAAATATTTTTATGAAAGTGGAATAAAAGCGCTTATTACATGTTGGCAAAGATGTATAGATTGTGATGGAAAATATTTCGAATAAATTTTCTGTTTTATAAAAATTAAAAATATTTTTCACTGCCTTTTCAAAACTTGCATTATTTTTGCACCAGCCCAATAAAAGTGTCCGTTTAGGGAAGTTATCATAGTGTAAGACAGTGTTTAACAGCCTAGCATTGTACAACTTCAAGAAGAAAAAAAATTGGAACACCTTCCAATGGTTATTTTTTAGATGACCTCCTGGCATTGATACATGAATAAAATTTTCCATGTCGTAGATGAGAATCTTGATGGTAAACACGAGAGGCCTTTTCTGTTATCAATGGCAAATCGAGGGAAGAATACCAACGGATCTCAATTTTTCATGTAAGCTCATGATACCTTAAACAGGTGAAACAAACCTTTATCAATAATTAATATTTATGAATTTAATGATTTGTTTAGAATTTCACTAAATGAAGCTACCAGTTTATTTTATATTTATATATTTTTTTAATCTAAAAATTGAGATATGAGAGTTGAGTAAGTTATCGAAAGGATGATGAGTATCAAAAAAAAAAAAAAAAAAAAAAAAATGCAAAGCCTCATATTTTTCATTAAGTGTGGCACTGAAATGTTTTGGTCTGTTGCTAGAGAGCGTTTTGGTGACGAAGTGCCTTCTCTGTTAACCCGTAATCATGTTTTGTTGTAGAACAACGCAGCCTGCCCCACACCTCGACGGGTGAGTAATTTTCTGTATATTACAGAATTATTTTTTTACAATTGTTGATCATCAATTGACGTCAAATTTGTTTATAGTGTGCACGTAGTCTTTGGCGAAGTGGTAACCGGACAGAATGTGATCAAGCATATTGAGACTCTACCTGTGGACAGGATGAGCAGACCCTTGCAGGACGCCAAGGTGGTCAACTGCGGGGAACTAATACTTAAAATGAAGGCGAAAGGTATTCGTAAAATTTCTTAATCAAATATAGAAAATGTATTTTTAACATTTACATGTGTGTTTACATTTAGCAAAAAAGAAAGAATCATCTCCTGAGGAAAGTGAATCCGTTTCCACGTCCTCGTCGGAGGAGGACAAGGAGAAAGAAGAAAAGAAATCTAAAAAGAAGAAGAAAAAGAAGAGCAAAGAGAAGTGAGTATGAATCTCAATGAATCTCTCTCAGCTAGGAGTTGATCAGATTTAATTTTGTACGATTATGATTAACAGAACTAAAAAAGAGACGTCGCAAAATGAAGAGAGTGAGGAAGATACCGAGATAGCTCATCCTCTTGTAACCGTGACAAAAATAGACCCAGAAGAAATACCAGAAGATCCGAAAAGGTGAGCTCTTTATCGACACATAAATCAAACAGAAATAACTTTCTATGTTTAACAGTTACTTGTACCGGGATGACAAGAAGGAAAAGTCTGAAAAAAAAGAAAGATCAGAGGGTAGGCGTGATAAAAAAGGAATGAAGTGGCATCCTTTTAGAGGCTACACCAGGACTGGAAAGAAGATCAAAGGCAGGGGTATTTTGGTAAGTAAATTAAGTATGATTGGATCGTAATATTTTTAAAATAAAAAATATATATTTTAGAGGTACAGAACACCATCTAGGAGTCGTTCGCGTAGCTACACACCGCCCCATTGGAAGCAGGAACAGAGCAGGACTATTTCATTTACTGAATACCAGGTTCGTACTAAAAAAATTTTGTTTACTTGAAATGTATTATTTATTTTGGCTTTTGCAGAAAAGAGAGGAAGAGAGGAAAAGGAGAGAAGAAGCACGGAAAAAGCGACATGAAGAAAGGGAAGAACAAGAAGGAAAGGGAAAAGAGTGTGTATTTAATTTTTCCATTTATGCATGCCTTTCATGTTGATGTCGTAAATTAAAAATAATAATAATAATTTTATGTAAGGAATGACAACTCGATCACATCAAAACAAGGAGAAAAGAAGAAAGACGGTTCAGAAAAATATGGGAAAGAAAATTGGTTTGAGTCTGAGAAAGAAGTCAAGGAATTAATAGGGAAAAAACGAAATAGGTCTGAAGATAGAGAAGAAAAAAACACAGTAAGTACATATCCGTGGATGCTGCGTAAAATTGGTTTAAGTTGAAAATTGTGAAAAACGAAAATCAGAAAAGCATATTTGCTGGGATATTTTTTTCTCCTGTCATTTTATGTTTTAACCGTATCCCAAGTCTGCAAACTGACCGAGACAATCTTATCTTTGTCATTTCTTGTCCATCTTTATGTAAACCTACTTTGTAACCCTCAATTTTATTAATTTTCTCATTTACTCGCTCATTGTGTCCCACCATTTGTTGAACCCTCTTAGCACAATTTTATATCCTTCTTTCTTCAACTTTGGGGCTTCATTTTCTCTCATATTCATTTTATCATAACATTTCATTTACCTTCCCTGCCGCTGATCGGGATGCAGAAGAGAGTATTACATCATTTTACATCCACTCAGGTAAGACAGGTTTTAAAATTTTTAGAATAAACATGTTTAGCCTGAAAACGTCATAAAAAACCGACTCCTTATGATGTCATGAAGTAGCGAGCATAATAAATAAGAGTAACCTGTGATAGAGACTGGCTCATAGTATGTCAGCGTTTATTCGCAGGAGGAGGTTCTAGACCCTTATTTGCATATTTCGTGGGAGACTTAAACAGCTCCGCATTCTCATCCGCGTAATTCATTCAGTCGTTCCTGAACCGTGACGTTTGAATGATAACAAATGAAACTTGAATGATCCCAGAAAGCTGTTTGAAACGTTCCTTGAATGTTTTGACGTTCCTTAACTTTTCTCAGAAGTTAAGATTATATTATTAATTATATGAACATTACTCGACCAATGCCCCAACTTTATATTGCGTTAATTATATGAGGAAATGTTGAACAATGATTTCTGTATTCGGAAAACCAGCATTCAAAGAATCATGAATCAAAAATTCATTAGTCAGCCTGCTAAAACATGTTTATGTTTTTATAATTTTGGCCAGCAATTTTAGGCAGTAGCCAGCATCTGGTTTTTAATTTATTTTTTAGTCTAATTCTACCGCTACAATGAGTTTGTGAAAGTCAGTCAGATAAAAGCTGACCTCCCACAAGGGAGCATTCTTGGTCCCATCCTTTATACAATCTATACTGCTGACTTACCTGCACACCCTAACACCATCATCACAACCTACATGGACAATACTGCAAGTTTGTCCTCTAATTTGAATCCTATCCAAGAACGCTTTGAATTTACTGAAGGCAGTGTGCAAAAAGAGGAGGACGAACTGAATGAAAGATCAACAGTGTACGTTCACATTGAAAAACAGTTTTGCCTTCCACTATACATCAACAACAAAGAAATCAATTTTTATTCAATTATAATACTTAGGACGATAGACAGCAGACTGACGTGGATTCCCCCACACAAGATTAAAGGTTGATTCACATTTTACGGGATGTTAACATCACATCAGCAAATGGCAATGTAACATCAAAATATTGGGTATAATAGATTTCTTATGGTAACATAGGGGGCATAGGTGGCTGAAATAGTTTAGGCGTTGACACGGCACTCATCACTGTAAGGTTAAAGTCCCAGGTTTGAATCCAGTGGCTCTGCATTGACGTTTGAAATGATTATATAAGGACCAAAAGTTTTTTTTCCCCCCATAGCCTATTAATATTAGTATGTTTTTTCACACAGTCACATTACTAACAATAACACTAGTGCTGCACCTGGAGGACACATGCTAAGAAACCAGCCAGATCTTGATGCGATTGTCGATTAAGGTGAAGTGACGGGTTCTTGGGATGGGAATATGAGGTATACCCCTTCCCTTGAGCATTAGGGTTAGGTTGGATTGAAAGGGTGTGAAACTTGGAATTGGAAACGGATCAGTTCATTGACAAAAGGAATGTTGAGGTCAGTGTGGATAGTGTGGTAGTAAGGATCTTAGATTATTTGTTTGAGGACTTTTGATTGGAAGGTCTGACATACTTACCAGTAGGATTTTTTTCCCCAATAAAAAAAAACACCAACACCCAAGGGTTGATACGAGGTGTAAAGGTATGCACTTCAATGTCAGGAACCGTCGAGATTAGTTGCAAACTAAATTTTGCCATTTCATCCCCAAATGTGGTATTCTATTTTCATATTTCATCTTTTTTTCTTTTTTTTTTTTTTAAATGAGGGTTTGCAACTAAAGAGGTTATGTCAACCCTTGAGGTGCCAGTGTTTTTGAAAAAAAAGCCCATTTATAAGTATGTCGGGTTCCAGCGGCTCTGCATTCGAACCCGGGACCTTTACCCTACAGTGATGAGCACCGTGTCAACGCCTAAACCATTGTGGACACCGATGCACCAAGGTATGGTGTTCTCTTTAGATTTCATGCTGTTCTTTCCATTTTCTTTGTTTAACTGCATTACTGACTGTTTCTTCCTCATCCAAAATTAATCCAATCATTACTAATTTTCTCCTATTTAATCTGGCAAGGAAATGAGCAAATATTGATGTAGTGATTTAACATAAGCCAGGAACATTTTATTAAGTTGCCAGTTGCTAATGTGACGTTGATGTTCTGTAAAATGGGAATTGACCTGAGAAGACTTGGACAACTGCAACTTCTAAGACCGAAACCTGTCTTGACTGTCAACATTAAACTAACCTTATACAATACTTTGCTACAACTGCTTTGGACATACAGAGCTGAACTGTGGGGTTCTGGCAAGCCATCCAATATCCAGCGCATCCAATCCTTCCAATCAAAAATCTTAAGCCAAATCGTCAAAGCTCCTTAAGCCGGGAACACACCCAATGCTACCCCATGCGACGCTACCCGATGCTACCCTTCGCCTTGCCATGTTTTGGTGGGGTGTGCACATCTATCCTACGCAAGCACACGTCGCGTACAGTCCACAGCGTTTATCACAATCGCAACGCATCTTTTGTTCATAATGCACTATTTTGAGCAAAACCTCGTAATAAATTCTTAGTTAAATTTTATGAGCACAACCATCTAATAAATTGTTTGTTAAACTTAATTGTTTTAAATACAGTTACTCCTAACCATCTAATTAAACAATGTTTATAAAAACTTATGCATTTTTGATCTCGTTTAATTTGGTTTTCATTAAAATAACATGTTGTAATTAATATAAAGACAAAATTACATGTACTTAGTTTGAAGTGAACTACAAAAAATATGAGTGTCCTGTTTTGATGCTACCGGACGAAAATGGTGTAATTTTACGAGCAAAACTATGAAATAAATTGTTAATTAAATTTTATTAGCAAAACCTGGTAATAAATTGTTCTAATTTTAGTATGTGTACCGCCGAAGCGAGTACAATAAATTGTATTCATTATATCAAAAAAAATCGTATTCCGCTGTTTTGATTAATTTTCTACCAAACCATTAAAATTAATTTTTTAAATAAAAACTAATTAATTTTTAATCATAGTTAATTTTATATAGGTTTACATGAAAATAAGTATGTTGTAATTAATATAACGACAATAATACATGTAGTTTGAATAAAAATATGTGTGCCCGGTTCTTTTGTCTTCGACTGTACTCGATGCGACTCGACGAAAATCTGGACAGTGGGGATCGCAGAGCGTCGGGTAGGTTAGCGTGGCATAGCATCGGGTAGATGTGCACGGGGGTAATACAACCTTATAAAAAATCGGAGTTTGGGTAGCATCAGGTAGCGTCGCATGGCGTAGCATCGGGGTAAGTGTTCCCGGCTTTACTAAGTCACTAACCTCAATATCCACAACGACCTCAACAATCCTTTGTCAACGAACTGATCTGTTCCTACTTCCATAAGATTCACACCAGTATCTCAATCCATCGTAAAAGCTACGATGAGCCCCCTCTACGCATCTACACATTCCCATCCCAAGAACCCGTCACATAACTTTAATCGATGGTCTCGAGACGTTGCCCATTTATCCCTCGCATTGGTTAGTTTCTCATGGCATTTGCTGTCCCCAGGCAAAAAAAAAAACAACTATTGTAATATTTACTAATATGTTTTGGGTACAAATAAAAAAATCTATCCCAAGTCTTACACACTGCATCTCCAGATTAAAAAAAATATGGTTGTAAACAATTGTGCTAACATAAATTATTTATCCATTTTATTTTGGAGCATTTATTCATTATTGTTGTCCTGTTGTAATTTACAGCTGTAGGAGGACAAACTGTAATTGCTTATTGTAAACTTTTTAGAAAACTGAACGACTTCATCATGACAGCAAAGATAGAGGCAGAGGGCGTGATAAGGAGAAAGATCACGATCACCACGGTAGAAGCAGAAGTAAAAGGGACGAGAGAGGTGACCGGAACAGAGTTACTTCCCACGAAAACGGAGAAAAGGAAGAGGACCTCCGTTCTCGTCTCGGAGAAAAAAGAAGGCCGGAGCACGATAGAAATGACAGAAGGCGAGAAGACAAATTCAAAACAGACGCCGATAAAAACCGAGACAAAAGAAAAGAAGAGGACCGTCGAGTCAGAGACTCCGATCGAAATTCGAGCCGGGGCAGGAGGCGTAGCCCCAGAGACAGATCGGGCGACCGAAGACATCGAGACCGTTCGCACAACAGGATGAAGAGGTCACGATCCGGCGAAAGGCAACGTTCAAAAGAAAAACACGAAGAAAAACCCAAAGAAGCCGTAGTCCCAAAAATAGTACGCTCGCGCTGGGACATGGAGAAGAAGCCGGAACCCAAAGAAAAACCCCACGGGAAAACATCAAGAAGCTCTTCATCAGCTTCCTCTTCTTCCTCTACATCCAGCACTAGCAGTAATTCGAGCAATGAAAGAAACTCCAAACGTCGGAGGAGGTAGAAAATCAATTTTAACGTTTTAATCTCCCTCTTATTTCTAATTGTATAGTACATTTATATTATAAGTTCATTAAATTGTTTAAAAAAACACAGACTTTTAATACTTTATTGCGATCCTTTCAGATAGATCAGATGTAAAATATTTCTTATTTTCTTTTGTAATTTTTTCTTATCAAGGATTGATCAGCTAATAGTCGAATGTATATTTCAAGAGTTTGCGTTGCTGTTTAGTGTTAAATCTGCAATTTTATGAATTTGAATGATGCAAAATATCTTTGACATTGATACTATTAAAACATATTTTATTTCAAATGTTTTATTTTAATTTTTGATTTTAAAAAACCTATTATCATGTGAGCCTTATTTATAAGTCTTAGTGTAAGTCATGTAGGATGAGTGATGGTTTCAGAGGAAAAAGCCATCCATGGAGAATACGAGGAAAACATTAAAAAAATTAAGAGGGTATGTTAATAAAACAATCGAAAAATTTATGAGAAAGTAATTATAATTACTTTTATGTATTAAAAAATCCTATGAAATCTGTTATAAAAAAACAAGTAAAAAAATTAAATAATATTGTAAATATTGCTGAACATGAAAAAAAATGTAAAATGACAATTGAAAATGTGTTCAAGTGTGGAAATCAATAAAATAAATTCAACTTGAAATTGTAATGATTTTCTTTTTAATTCCCACGTGTCAAATAGAAAATTATCTAAAGCCTAGTATTGACATTAAATCGCAGAGGGAGACAATTTAAAATGAAGACCTACAACGTAGAATAATTTAAGACACATAAACACAGACAGGACTAAACTTGTAGCCAATATATGACAGACAACTCTTAACGAGTTAACTTTTGATATCGTAGACATTTTTTGTTATCATTAATAAATTTAAATTGCCAGTCAATTTGGTGAGATTTTGTTCTCTGAAATTGGCACTGGCTTTCTAAGTGCAGCATCTTATAGAGTGGGACCTCCCAAACTGTGGTCTGCTGGGGAAATTCGAAAAATATTAGTAATTACACAAATAAACGTATAATGAGTAAATAAAATTAACTTTAAACAATGAGTACTGTAAACGAAAGTTTTTTATTTATATTTATTCATTCTATGTTTATTTTTGCACGCGTAAGATAAATAAGACGGGGCTAGATATCAGTTTCGTAGAAATTTCATTGTTGATGCTGGGGTCCTTCATTACCAGTAAATGATGCTTCTGGAACGCCCTGGATTTTTTCAGTGTTTTATATAAAAAGCCGTTTTTAGTGACGGAGTATTTTAGTGCCCCTGACCGAGGGCCAGTGTTGTTCTGTAGAGTTGAGACGATGGACCATGTGTGTGTGTGCACGCGCGCTCGCGCCTATGGCCGAGGGAGTATTGGGTTGTCCGGAAAATAATGCAGGATTTTGGTATTAAACAAAAAAAAAGAAACTAGTTACTTTAAAGCAATGTTCTTTAATCAAAATAATTTCCCANTGAGTAATCCTGTAAACGTAAACAGAATATTTTATATAGATTTTTTTTAATGAAAACTTAAAATCCTGCATTATTTTCCGGACAACCCAATAGTTGGCTGAGATCGGTTGAAGGGACTCTGATGCAGCAGTTGGGCAGTAGCCAAGGCAGTTGTGTAGAGAAGGCGAGTTCGAGGCTAATTCTGCTTGTTAGTTGCTTCATTAGTGATTGGCGAGAATTCGTCGAGCAGACGAGCCTCAAGACTCGAGGCGCGCAGTGAGACTCGTCGGGGAGACAAGTCACTCAAGTCTGTGGGGGCAGTGCCTCTGTTTATATACAAAAGAACCGATGGGACACTTAGCGGGTACAGTAACTGCAGGTGGCCACCACATCGTTATTTCTCGAAAATGTGATTCAAGCTCAAACCTCTCTACCGAGTACACTATTTGTGTCGTTCTCATTGATCGGTTAGTTTCCAACATGGATCGGCGGCTGAAGTCAGTATCAGTGAGGAAGCATACAGTTTCTCCATCACACACAAAGCCTGGAAAGCACCGAAGTGGCATTGATGAGGCGAAAGGACAACCTTCCGATGAGGGCATTACTGAAGACAAGCCAATTGAAGAGCAGACTTCAGATAAAGCACCTCAGCTGGACCAGCATGCTCAAGTCTACTTATAGGTTCCACAGGTCAAAAAGCCAGTGGAAGTTGAATATCTAAAAAGGCTAAGTACCACGACAGCTAATGACCACAAGAAGAATCCTAAGCGAATCTTAAGGATTAAAACCGAAAATGGCCCGTTGGCTATACACGGCAGTAACAAGACCCAAAAATAACGTCTGGATCGGTAATCTGCTGGATCAAAGCTCAACAAAAAGTAGCTACTCAATCACTAGGCAGCATACAAAGATTAGCGGGCTATGAGAACAACCCCTAGAAGTATACTAGAAACTGCTAAACCTACCTTCTCTGGAAACGTTTAAACTAGGGACTAGAAAAAGCTCAGTTAGGTTCCAAAAAGAAACAATTTGGATAGGATCTAAACCATTCGGGCACACAACCATAATTAATAAAGTCAGACACCCATTCTTAGAAATGGGGACTGACTATATGATCCCGGAAACATCCTATAAAGTCTCAACAGACTATAAAGTACCGGGCATAAAGGAATTTTGGGTAACGAAAAAGCAGACACACTGGCCAGTACAGATGGTTCCAAAACAAACGAAGGAACCGGATCGGGCATTTTCTGTAGAGGCCCAAAACATGAGCAGCCAAACTCATTAGGGAAGCACACTTCGGTTCATATCAAAATTAGTCAGTGAATGCAAACAAAACCTCAAAACCTGGGGAAACAACAGCTTGATGATATCTTGGGTGCCAGGGCACAGAGGAATTTTGGGTAACGAGAAAGCAGACTGGCCAGAGGAGGATAGGCCCCGAACCTTGCGATAACAAAAACAAACATATAACCTCCATCGCAGAATGGATAAAGTTATGAAACAACCCTCTCCCAGGCTGGCAAAATTACTGCTGCTATTGGACAGGGCTAAACTCAGAGGGGTAATAGGTCTATTAACCGGTCACTGGCATCTGAGAAAACATCTACACAACGTGCATATGTAACGATGAACCCATCTGCAGATTATGTAATGAGGAGGAGGAGACAATGGACAATAACCTTGCATATAGAAAAAACCTAGGGAATGAAATTGTAGCAGGGATAGTCAATGACCTGATACGTCTAAAAAGAAGGATTGAGTCTATAGCACTGAACTAGGGAACGAGGAAGGTACAATAAGCCAAAAGGCTGCAGTGCCTGGGGAGCACAAACCCCCGCTTCCTAGTATCCTTATCACCTTCACCACGACAGTTACTACGATTTTGGGATTTATAGAGGCTGACGAGAGAAAATATTAGTGTGTGATTTGCGCGAAAGTCGTTCTAAACAGTTCAATCGTTCCAGTTATATTGCCGTGTCATTTTAAAGGCACACACCCAGAACGCCGGGAGAGCCAGACTGATTTTTCGTGAGAACTGGTTGCTTCTCAAACCTTCATTGTTAAAATACATGCAAAAACTGTTAATGAAAACTCACAAAAAGCGTCTTACTTGATAAATTATCAAGTGGCACACAGTCGATGCTCATACCATCAATGAAACCCTCTTAAAACCGTGTGTTAACGATATGGTATGTTGCATGATTGACGAAAAGGCAGTAGTTCGGTGTGCCCTGGACTATATTCATTTGTTTTGTATAGTATTACAGATTACTTTTCCATCTTTTTACTATGATTTTTTTAGTTTCTTTTATACCTAAAATAAACTAGGTAAACTTTACAAATAATACACTTGTATTGACTTGAAGTCATTAAAGGAAGGTGGGTTCGGGTGAAGGAACCATGGAGTATAACCTGTACCAACGTACTGTCATTCTGGTCGAGTTATTTTTCTTGTTTATTGTATGAATGTTCATGTGTCAACGTTTTTCAATTATTATCTGAAGCTTCTTTTTCTTCTTTTTTCTGAAAGTACAGTTTGATAAAGGAAAAGATATTGGATTGATGCTAAAATAATGCTGGTTTTTGATGTTCGGTGAAAACAAGCTACAATTTAACTTCAACAAAAAATATTTAATCGAAATAACTTTCATTACTATCTATACATTTTTGCCAACACACAACCAATGCATTAATCACAGAAGAGTAGAAACTAGGGTCTCTGGAATCGACTAACTCCCGAAATGCATTTTCGATACTATTCTGGCTTCTGAATCGGTTCTCGCACAAAAAGTTGTTGAGTTGTTTAAAAAAGTGATCTGTAGGAGAAAGATCCTGTGAGTATGGTGGATGTGGTAAAGCCTGTAACCCAACTCATGAAATGCCAGAGTCCGTTGTCCACGTGCGACGAGTGGGCGTGCGTTGTCGTGAAGAGGATAGCCTCCTTCCGATTGATAAAATTTCGCAGTTTTCTCTCCATTACATTAATTTCATTTCACATTTTCAGCAGTGGTGGGTTCACTCGGATTGAGTAAGCTGTAATGAATCCTGCAGATGACCACCAGACAGTGACCATACATTTTTTGGATGTGAGCTTGGCTTTAGGAAGTGACCCTGGTTTTCACTCTTATCCAGCCACTGTCCAGAACGCTGGCTATTGTCATATAATATTCATTTTTCGTCGCTTGTTACTGTACGACTGAGAAATGGATCATTTTTGTTGCGTACGGAAAGCGTTGAACAGATTTCATACCTGCGATCCTATTGGCGCTCGTTCAGCTCATGCGGAACCCACTTGGCGAGCTTCGTTTTCCCAATAGCTTCCATATGGTGAACCACTGTGGATTGGTCAACCCACCCAGGGAGTTGTGGCCCACTCAATGTGGAACTACAGCGACGACGGGTCGTATAATGTGGTTGAGGCTCGAGACCCTGAAAAGGTTCACCTCGTGTCCTCATCCACGTCCCTTTTTCAATCCAGGTTCCTTCATTCTATCCTGTGACCCCCTCCCAACCCTTGGTTACGCGCAAAATAAAGGTGTAGCCCAGAGGGAGTGGCAACCTCTCTAAAGCACAAGCTGTACTCGTTCGGCCTCGGGTCGTCATGGGCGGCGAGTGCCTTATCAAAGGCACACGAGAGTTAGGGTACCAGATCCTGTCTGCATAGACGGGGAAGGGTGCATAACCATCTGGACTACGGGGTAACAGAAATGTTCCAAAATTCAACCCCTGTTACAAAGGGAATGGATTCGTAGTGGCACGTGGCGACGCCCCTGGCGGGAACTTAGAGAAGAGGCTGTCTTCTACCTGCGACATTCGCACGAAACTTGCGTATGACCACCGTTCTACACCCGGCCTC